ATATTATGATAAAAATAATAAAAGTATATTTTTAAAGTTTAAACAAAAAATAAAATTTTTCGAATAAATTTTAGGAAATTGCGATTTTTTTATAAATTAGAGTCATATTTTCGCAAACATTGTTCAAACTAAGCACGTCAGTAATAATTATTATTTTATTATAAATAATTGTGATAGAATCACAAAATAGTAGTCATCGCGTATTTATATACACAGGACGCTATTAATAATAACAACTCTAATATTCCCCTTTCGTAAAGTAGACATTTAATTTTCGACTCTCCAATCGATTTTACGATTTTGAACATGGCATAAAGGTACAAAGCATAATGGATGAACCTATTTAGAATCAGTGAAGCGAGAATAAGTGGCACTCATTCTTGTTGCTTCAATTGTTATCCCTGCTTTTATTACTCTTCCCCTCCGATTTCGATGACCTGAAACATCCGGGTAAATAGGGCAGAGGGCGAGACGAGTCAAGATTCACCAAGCTACACGGATTATCTCGCCATCTTTGGAATAAGGTCATGTTGATTGCTACATGTTTCCTAAGCCATTCCACTAAACCATTGCGGTAATCGTATACATTGCGTGCAAGATAGAGCATCGAACCCCTTTATAATTAAAGATCAGAGTCACAGCAGTCGATGAAGATAATTCCTCGCGGTTATTTTTATTTAGATGACTCACGACTTTAGATGACTCACATACATGCCAAATTTCCATAGCTTTATAATTAAGAATTATGACTATCTAACTATTACTTGGCTAGAAATTGTTAACAATTGCGTGACTAAATGTTTAGTATGTTCTCTGACATCGTATTTGAACTAGAAATACTCGTATATGGGTTTAGTAAATAAAATATACATATAATCTAAGTCATATATTTATAATAAATGTTAGAATCTTGTTTAGACATTTGATGTTTTCACGATTCAATTAAAGCTAATTTAGTATCCTGCTTAAAGTTTCTTTTTAAAGTTACCTTAATGAATGTGAATGGAATAAAAATTATCATAATATATATATATGACATTATAATATAGCAAAAAATATATGTCGTTCATAATTTAGAATCTAAAAAAAAATTATTTTCATGTTTCTATTTCTTTCGGTGATAAAATGTATGATTATTCATGCAATGTATATTATTTGATCGTAATTCGTAATCGAAAAGTTCCGATCGTCGGAAGATGAAACTTGAATTTTACATGATAACATAGCGCCGTCTCTCGCGTGGTTCTCGTAACTTTGATCATTCGGAGTAGGAGTGTTATCAACATAAGCCATGATGTTGTTCGGAAAGTAAACGCAATCGTAACGTATCGAAAGATATGCTCTTCTGGAAAATATTTCACATCGTTAATAAGAATTTTTATGAACATGAAATTTGATCTTAATTTACTTATAAAATAATACATTCTATTAATAACTGAACGTTTATGATTTTACTTAACTCTACATGTCCACATTTCTCTTTCTACGTTAGAAATCAAATCAACATTTATCTGTAATCTTACCTTTCGTCTGCAATTATACCTATATTTACTACATATATACAGACATATATATATATATATATATATATATATTATATTATTCAGCATGCCTGTTAATTATTTGCATTAATTAAAGCTATTGTATTATAAATTAAATCAATTTGTTCGAGTTTTTGTTATTAGAAATAACAATGCAAATCAAACATCACATTAATTAATTATTTGTGTTATGACGTTTTTTTACACTGTTTTATGTTGTAAATTTAGGAATACAATATGCACAGTAAACAGTTATTTTATCACTCGATATACATGTAATTTACGCTGTTTGTATATTCTGTCATGCATAACGAAAAAAAAGTGATTTTGCCATCTCATTAACTGTTATCACATTAAAGAAAAAAAGTCCAGCAAAATCGCTGGATTGGCCAGTAATTTTTTAGCGGTCGAAGAATACGCTGTGTCAATATCGATACGATTTGCCAGGGTTTATACAATTTATCATAGAATTGATGTCAGTTCGCAGGGATTATCGAAACTGTTATGTCGCGCTGTTTTTGACTGGTTTTTAGGAAAATTCCGTTGTGAGTGATTGAGTTTATCCAATGGTTAATTAATACGCAGCAAAATAGCTACACTCTTCTTTGTAAATTCGGAAGTGAAATAATTCAGGTGAATTGGTGTTAATTAGATTAACGTTAATTAATGTACGATTTTATGAAATTAAGAGCAGAAAAGGACTATTCCGAGAATAACTAATTGCACAAAGTTAAATGAAGATTGGTCCGATCTGAAAATTACTTGAAATTTAATTTCAATTAACAATTTTAATTAAAAGAACGGAAAGAGTAAATACCATCTCTCAAGAGAACTCGTTCATTAATTGGATATACGTTTTAAAAGAATGTAGATAAATGCGTGTGAATATAAAGTGCACGTGCGAAAAAATATATTTATATAAATGGAATATTAATGTCATACGTCAAACGCATTGGCATCTGTTATTTTTGCAACAGTTTTATTAAAATTTTACATTATCTCTATTGTTTGTCTCTTGCTAACGGCACAGCTGGACGTCTATTGTTATTATAAGAGATCATCTTGAGAGTGACGAACTACTGCCGATATACATTATTCTGCGTTGTTTCAAATTTATTCATCGCTAATACTGTTAGAACTACAAATCCTAACAGTACAGTACATGCTACAGTACAGAGGCATTCACGTATGTATCCAACATAAATACATTCGTTGTTGTTGCATAATGAAGACAATGTTGTACCATCGTCGATCCTATAAATGCTGTTCCGATATTCGAAACAAATTCCTTTTATTGTCTATTCACGTGCCTTTAATTAATTTCTCACTTAGTTGGTTATATTTTCTCTGCCATTTTTTCTGGTATATTGGATCTAAATGAAGAGCAAAATTGTTTCTCGTATTTGGCTATTGTTTTGCGAATTCGCTTAATTGATATATTATGTAATACGGAAAAATCGGATCAATAAATTATTATTAATATTGAGGTCGTGTAGAATAGTCTAGTTAGTCTAGTAGAATGATCATTTCATCACGCGGACGAAACCTGCGCCATTTGTCAGAATCCAGAGATCCGTAGAGGGTATTCGCGTTAATTACCACGCCCCTGTGGAGATATCGAGTCTCGGTTTCCACAGTCGAATTAGTAGCTGTGCATGATAGTGGCTGATTGATTCAATTACTCCGTCGTGTAAACGCTACAATTTACTGGGAATGAACCTTCATGCAATTTTGCGCTTTAATCGTTTATCATAGTTGAAAAGATCGGACGTGTCTATGAGAAAGCTATTCTCTTCCTTATGCAGTTTTCAAGTATGACTAACAAGTAAACTTACCCAAGTGTTACACTTCGATTTTGATAAGCTTTGAGTATTCTAGGTCAAAGTAAGAGACATGTATTTTTTTATACGTGCCCACATGGTCGTTAAGGGAGTAAAACACCCTCTTGAAAAAAATTTGTTTTTATATTCTGAGCTAATATCGTTGAAACTATAAAAGATATAAAAAAAAGGTTTCAAATGAAAGTTTTATGGCTTTTAATGTATTTTATGATAGTTCACTTATATTTTTCGAAAATGTCTTATACGGTTTAACGCCGGATCCGAACGGCGCTGGTGATCAAAAATCTTTTAATCACTAGATGGAGTCATTTTCGGCTCCTTAAACACGAAAAATTGCGTATGTGGATTTATAGATCGCGAGTCAATCGCACTGAGCGGCAAGTCACTCGACGTTTTTAATAAAATACAAAAGTAATAATATAAGAGATATAATAGACACTGAAAGAAAATATTGGCTGAATATGACATAACATCTTTAATTGTTTGTAGCAGCCAATTAAAAATGCTATGCCATATTTTACCATCTAATTTGCTGCAGCAGCCAATCTTTTCTTTCAATGTGAGAGTAACGTATGGACATGTATAAAAAAATACGTGTCTTTTAGTTTGACCTAGATTACAACATACTCAAAGCTTATCAAAATCGGAGTAACGCTTGAGTAGGTTTACTTGTAAGATATCCGAGTTTGACTTTCAAGAAAATGATGCGTGAGATGTTTAGAGAGCGCGAGATCTATCATATGAGATCTACTATATGTTATACGTAAAGTCATATCTAAGACGAAGTTTATTTCACATTTTTATTTAAAATATTTTAAGTAATAAAAAATCTTAAGTGATAATCTTTTAAGTATAAGATTTTTTTTATATATATATAATGTATAAAATTATAAAATAAATAACTTAAATAAACAATTATATTTTTTAATTGCAATTACACTCTTATGTAGATTTTAATAACTAGAATTGTTTATTAAAATTGTATTTATTAGATATATTTTAATTGTTGTATCAATGGAAATTAATAAGTGCGATATACATTTAAGAGTTTGTTACGAGGTGCTGAGCAAGTGGCTCAGTGGTCTAGGGGTATGATTCTCGCTTTGGGTGCGAGAGGTCCCGGGTTCAAATCCCGGCTGAGCCCAATTTTTTTTAGTTTTTTTAACACAATTTTTAATAAATTAAGAGTCTAAATATAATTTTATGAAAAATTAAATATAAATTTTTAAAAAGAAATTATTTTTTTAATTTAGTATAATTGTACAATGATTAACATTTGGTTGTGAGACAGTGATTAAAGAGACACTGATATTCTCTTTTTCTTACTTTGAATGCGATAAATCTCATATTCAAATTTTAGCATAGAGTCCAATTTTTTTTTCTTCTGTATTATTGATTATATTATAAATCATTATTCGTAATAAATATATTACAAATAATACTAATCGTTTCATTAATTCTCTAATTATGCAGTTTAATTATGCACAAATGCGTTTACACTTAAAATTTTACGAAGAATGTCCCAACCTCGTTTAGTGGGTGATCACTCATCCGCGCAATTTTTACCAGGGGAAGCCTTTATTACAGCTGTCGTAATTAGTCTCGCTTGTTGTTGCAGGACCGGCAGCATGGCAGCCGAAGAGGGAATGCTGGGTGGTGGCCTGGGCGCGAAATTGAAATGCCCGACTCCCATATCGCGGTTGAGGGTAGAGAAGATCGAGGGCGGCCTGATGGTGGCCGGTGTGGTAATAGCGGCGAATTGCCAGATTGCCCTTCCAGCATTTGGCACTCTTTTCATGCTCGTCGGCGCCGTACTCACTGGTTCGTATACATATTTATCTCTTTTGTTTATATTTACCTCTGCATTGTTTAGTCAAAGTAATATGCATTACGTTACAAATATGTAAACGTAGTAAGGTAAAAAGGCTGTACTTATTTTGAAACTGATATCCTCAATATTATTAAGAGTATAATCTTTAGAATATTGTTACGAGCATTATTGTTTGTTTAAAAATGTATCATAGAGCGATGTTTCTAATATTATTAGCTTGCTTTTTTTATAAAACACATTGCACACTTTTTTAGATCTTGTTATACGTTTTTTTTTCTAAAATCGCAAATCGCATTTTCGATGTACATTTAATGCCAGAATGTAATTTTCATTCCACATTTGGAGGTACCCTTATTTGACGAAATAAATTTTTTTTATTTCGTAAAATGAGTGCACCTCCATCAAATGCGGACGATTAAAAATGCAATAAAAATGTCATAAATTTATCAGGAAATGTCACAAACAAACATGGTAAACAAGTTATAAATATTATTTATTTTTCTTGTAAATATTCTTGTCAGATTTTCTCCGCAGGGATTTTAACTGCATTGCATAATTTTACGGTTACAATTAGAGGAGCGCTTGTATAAATTATGATATTGCAAAAACATACAGTGTGTTGGACAATAGTTACATCGGCGACTCTTGAATATTCACCGATCCTTTAATTTTTCTTTTTTTTCCCGTTATCTCGTAACACGTCATTTGCATTCGCATTTGCATCTCATGATTGACCTGCAAAATTTGCGATGGCGCTATTCTGACAGTTACGGCTGAGAATTAATGTAGCTTCGGCTGCACAGGATGAATATCATTGATGAAGAAATATCTTAGTGTATTTAAATTTATGATTTCGATAATACATAATTTTTCGCAATGTCAGTCGGCGCTGCGCACAGGCGATCTATCATTTTTAGACTTTGAGTTTTGAGAGCTAGATAAATCATATTTATCATTTCAGACTTTTTACTTTTAGTTTATGTTACATTTGTCGGATCGTTCGTATATCTATGGAGATATGGAGCATGCGTCACGGCGTGATTTAACGGATGAGAATAATTTCAAGCTTTCCATTTCGGAGAAAGCATAGGCTCCGTAATCGCATGTGGGTCACTTAGAAAAGAGAATTAATGTTTATTTTGTTATGAGATATCATAATCATTTGTTATTGTTTATTGAAATATTTTTTATTTGTTTTGTAATATCTATATAAAGAAATTGCCTTTCCTATTAATTCGTGGACAGACTAAACAAAGAATTGATAAAAAATTATTAATTGTATATGTTTTCATCTTTCAATATTATTTATATACAGAAATTATAGCTTTATCTTTGTAGTAGAGGATAAGTTATATTTGCGATTATACAGGGTGTCCAAAAAATCGCCTGCAATACTTCAGAAGGTGATTCGGGACTCAAAAAGAAGAAAAAAAGATATATAAACATAGGTCCGGAAATAAGTCGTTTCCGAGTTACAACCACTTTTATGTTAAAAAAAAATTGTAATTTATTTTTTATAATCACAATCGTAATTTATTTCATAGTGTTTTAACATAAATAAGTACATTTCGAACTATTTATTTCGGACATTATCCAGCATGCACTATATGGAGGCATAGTCTGCTTGGCATCCCTCCTTTTTTATTTCTTTATTTTTAAACTTTTTTACTTTACTAGAGGGATGCCAAGCGGACTGTGCCTCTACATGGTGCATCCTGGGTAACGCCAAAATATGTCGCATAAAGACCGTAACAACGCTTAAGAATAGATTTCTGAGATCATTTTGAAAATCTTAATACCATAATACATCGAGATTGTAATAGTTTTTGAATTATAGTATTTAGAGTTAGCGAATTATATCGCTTAAAGTTCGTACCTATACAACGCAAAATGCCAACTATACCTGACAAGTTCGCACCTATACAACGCAAAATGTCAACTATACCTGGATGTGTAAACTTTAGGCGCTATGATTCACTAACTTTAAATGTATAATTTAAAAACTATTATAGTCTGATCGATATTTCAGTATTAAGATTTTCGTCTCAAAATGATTTGAGGAATCTACTCTTAAAGTAATAGTTATGAACATTCTATATATGTATATATATATATATATACATATATGAAAAATACATTTTTTGCACTAATTTTATATTGGATATTAAAATATTTTTCAGATTAAATAATTTCGCAAACAAAAATGAAAATCTTCTCGTTTTAGAAATTCTAAAAATATTTTATTTATTTATGATAATAACGAATGGATATGTAGAATTGAAATTATACATGGAATAGAGATATATTTTGAACAATGAAATGCCTATATTCCGTCAACATGTTGTCGACACTGGATGTAACGAAGAGATATCTCTCTCAGTATTCGTCGTTATGTACTAATCGGACTGAAGCCTCTCCTGATATTCTATAAGCGGATTAATTACATAGAGAAGGAAGCCGTATTCAGTCGGCTGAAGCAGTAGTAGAGTTGTACAAGCTATGTGCAAATATCTGAATTTGGTGAGCAGCATGCAATGCATTTAAGTCGTCTAATAAATTACATTACAACTGAATTTGCTCTAATTTCATGATGCTCGTGAATATTAATACCACTGTCAATATTAATAACAGTTTCCTCGGTGAAGAAATTTTGAATGTCTCACAAATATATTTTAATATTAATCAAGTGACATATTAATTTTATATTACATTAATCTTATTAAATAAAAGCATTTGAGAATATTATATTCAGAGATGCGTGAGTTTGCCAATTGATTTTAGATATAACAAAGTTTGAAAAGTGAATTTAATATTAATTAATATTAATATTAATACGTGGAAAACTTTCGAGATTTAGTCGAAGATGAGAGACTAGTTTCGTATTCTTTCTCATTGAATTAATTTGCGAAGTGCTATATAGTTCGTTCGTCGGGGCGCTGACCCCCGAGATAGATACAGCTTTCTTATCGCGAGGAAGAAGAGAAAGAAAAAGAAAACGAAAAGTGGAAGAGGGCCCAGACTGTTCACCAAGCAACAGCTGGCCCGTCACATCTCCCGCCGTCACTTCTCGACCACGTTTCTTCACATACGAGGTGCCGAGAGTTGTTAGTTGTTACCAACCGATTTATCAGAACCGGTCTGTCCTCCTCTTTCATCTTCCTTTTTTCCTGCCGTGCCAAGACCGGTCCAATAGCCCATTTCCCTTTCGTTGTTTCTATTCTTTTCTCTTCCTCTTGAACAGTTTAGATTCTAGATCGTCTGTCCGGTTGCTCGTAATGTCTTTGTTACGTTTATCACGCCGCCGAGTCAAGCTCTCTTTGATAGAGTCAAGTGGAACGAGGATTTTATTTTTTATCACTGACTAAACAGAACTAGTAGATACATTATTTTGAATGTACAAATCTGAATTTTGTAAATGTAGCGGATTACTATTTACAGTTTCTTAACATTTTTTAATTATTATATTTATTTGGGATTAATAAGTTTTATATTTTTCATAGTTTTATATTTTTATATTTTATTTTTTACAGTTTTCTATCTTTTGTATGTTTTAATATTATTTTATACGTATATTATTTTTATTTTTCGTTTTGAAATGTTACGATCTCATGTTACTATAAACGTTGTTTCAGAATAAAAACCTTTTTTATATCAACAATAATATACTAAATATTGAAAAAAATAAATTTTTTTATATATCAGAACATAGTATTCGTATTTATAAAATTTAATATTAAAAAATTATTTGAAATGTATTAATATCGCTACATTATTGAAAATATTCAATATTTCAAATATTTTTCATTATAAAAAATTGAAATTGAGTATCGCATTGATACTGAAAATTAAATTTTCAATTAACTATTATTATAAAACTATTATTATAAACTTAGAGCCAGAATAATTCGAAGAACTCACATTCTAAATATCACATTCATAAAATGAAGAAGTATAGTATATTGACAAACATATGTATTTAACGCTGCATTATTTTATTTGTCTATTTATTTTAATCACATTACTGAATTTTAGTTGTTTTCTTATTTTACGAAATAAAACAAATGCAAAGAGAAGCTTGTCGGATCTGCGCATGCTGATCGTTTATGAAACGTTTCACTAGCGCAGCGTTATCGATTAAAATATGTTCGAAGGCGAGCTCTCCGCAGCGAACGAACATATTTATGTTCATGATTTCCGTTACTTTGCAGACGCACATTTTCTCTCCAAATATTCCGTAACATTCTCGCTTCGCAATTGGCGAGAATAAGACAGTCGTTCTTTCTTTAAGTATTATATTATATCTAAAACTTCTCGGTAGAAAAGTTTTCTCATTCGCGTCTTAGTCGATGTCGGTAACTTGGACCAGTTCAAATCAACGCGATTATAGTTCTTCAAAAAAGCGGGAAGCAATTTTACGATATTGTACAAGAAATACACGAAGAGGACATAAAGTCTTGGTTCAAATCCGTATTCAACATTTAAAGGCGAGCACAATGAAATCATATTTGAACGACTTATTTAATTTATACTCTTACAATTAAGAGTTGTCACTTCTTAACAGCTTATTCGACACTTCAAGAACAAAAATAGATTATACTTTATTATTACTTTATTATATCTTTTGTCTGGTTGAAAAATGAAAAATAGATGATGGAATATACGAGAAACTTTTATTTTAAGGAGACAGTAATTTGATGAACCTAATAAACGTTATTTAATTAACTTTTACGATTAATTTTCGATTTGATCGTTTCTCTATTACAGCGGCTTCTTATCGTGGCCCCGGCGAAGACGAAGACAAGAACTCATATGCCGCACGAATTGCCTTTACCGGCAATTCCCGCATCTTGGGGCCGATCTGCATAGTTGTGGGCGCCCTTATGCTCGCGCTTGGCGTGCTACTCTGCATGCTCACGAGACGGGCGAGGCGGAGGGAGCGCAGGGTGGGCTTCCATTGTCCACTTCACGGGGATTTCTACCCTCTGAGTCCAGTCCAAGGTATCAAAATGCTTGGTGAGTGGAATATTATTCATTCCAATATTATTTATTCGACAAAGGAAATCTTATACCTATATAAGATAAGTGTTTTCTGAGATAAAAGAAAAATCTGTGATTATATGTTGTAATTTTAGTTTAGTCTATCATTAATCAATCAATCCAAATTTATTCCGAGAAAATGAATTCTAAATTAATCCAAACGGTTATTCTGATAAATTAATCGGTCCCTTGAATAATTTATTTCAATTATAAAATTAGTTTCTAAATTAATTTTAATTAAAAATTATTTTTTTATTCTGTTGAATTAATCGCCTCGAATTATTTTCCTAAAATAATTCATTTAAAATTAATTTCAAAATTAATTTTAAATTAAAATTATTTTTAATATAATTTTTAATTTATCTTTATGTATATATACTGTATTATTGTTCTATTGTATCTATTAAAATTTTGTTTGCTTTAATGTATTTTTATAATAGCTTTATATCCACATTTAAAATTCAATCTTTTGAATAAATTCACAATAAAAAAAAGCTTTTTCATTGCTTGCTTCATCATTATCGCAAATACATCGACACACTTTTGAAAATAAAATAAGCTCTTCCGTGTAAATACTGTCGCGTGAGCGCCGAAACTCATGTTTTTCCTTGCAATATCTCGTGATCATTTGTCGCGTGCAATCATCCCTTTGTGATTCGCACGGCAATAAACGCGTCGGCAATTTCGATGATACCTTTTCAAAGAGCAGAATTGCCACTAAAATGCTTCTCGAGAAAAGATCTCGATGTAGCTTTCCAACATCGCCAGTCATTATTATCGTGTCACGCGATGCCATTATGCTTTTTATAGATGTTTCGTTAAAATTACAGCAAAATGATCCATTTTTTTAACGAAAGATACGTATTGCCAGGTTAAATTACTCATCTGCAACAATGTTAAAATGTGCATCGTTGGAAGATAATTGACTGCCGTTTGCCTTACTCCATTTTATTTTTACTACTTTCGATGATTATTATTTTAACTTTATCTTAAAATTTACTAAAATCTCTGTAAATTTTCTGGTTACGTATAAGTGATGTGTAAATTATATTAACTGCTTAATAACTCATTTAGCTGATTTTATTTTAATAACAAATTTGTAGGCACTTTGCTATTTTACGACTTCGCCTTAGGAAATCTATCGACGTATGTTATTTTATCGTCGCGAACGTGCCAGTTCGTGCCAATTGCTTCAAATTCAGGACGAGGCTGGATCAAGCAGGGCGAGGAGTAGGGTAGCTAACTGGATTGTCGGAATTCAGGCTAATACGGCTCTATCAGATTATTGCGTGGGTCGATCGCGCGCATCGCGAATGCTACAAGTTTCCGCATTCGACCGAGAGATCGAAAAATCGCATCGAATCGTCCGGTAAGAAATCTTTAACAATGGAAATAATCCTATTACTTCCGGATCTTAGACTTGGAAGAACCGTGAGAGACGATAAGAATCGAAAGTAACATGAGTTATCAATTACTTGACTCTGAGAGATAAAATTTGGAAACATCAAGATGTTAGATCACTGTCGAATAACTTTTAACAGTTGTAAATATTGAATGCGTATACAGACTATATTTTACGATCAATGAATGTTACGGATTCGGAGGCTTAAATTTTTCATGTCTTGGAAGCAGCGTAACATCAAAAATTCAAGAAGCTCCGGAAATTTAGAACCTCCCGCTAGTCGCATCTTGACGGGAGACACGAACTTTTGAGAGAATTGTTACTGTAACGCTTGTATGTGGCAGTTGCTACTGCAGGCATATATAGAAACTTGACGATGCAACGATAATAAAAATTGCAAGACCCGCAGCCTCTTCGACTAGATGGCACGAAGCATCTAATATTTTATACACAATAAACGGAAGTGTTGCTAAAATATCTAAAAATTTAGCTAGATACAGATCTGAAAATAATTTCGTTGGACCATCAAAACAATTATTAAAATAATTATATAGAACACTCTAATTGGTTGCTCGAATGTCCAAATTTTTTGCAGTATTGCTCATCATAATCATCATGCTTGAGTTTCCTGCGTAATTATATTTTGATGATCCAAAATTATTTTCAGATTTGTATCTAACTAAATTGTGAATATTTTAGCAAAATTGTTCTTTCCATGTACAAACTGTAAATAGAATATTGCTATGTATTTCTATTTAAAAAGAGTCTTATTGGGCATACCGCGCATTACTAATTATACTATTTAAATTTATGTACTACTCAATTTCTTGTCTATCTTGTACTTATCTGTTTATATTATATCTGCTTTTTATATGTTTATATTATTATCTTCTTCACTTGTGTTTTACCTGTTCCTCAATTTCTTGTTTATTTTATGTTTTATTTTTTTATATTTATATGATATCTATTTTTTATATATCAAGATTGAACTTACGAGCAGCGATATTGCCGCCATACCTTTAGAATTTCATTTAACGCTACATTCATTCTCTTCAATTTCAGACATTGATAATTTATACTTTTTCACACTTCAGTAAAGTTATTATTATTATTATTATTATTCTGAAAACATAATGAGTGCAAGATATATATTTATTTAAATGATTAAAATCATTACAATATTGTATATAAATATTATATGTTAGTAACAGATTTAATTTTTATAAAATAAATGTGAATTTTAACAATAAGAATTTCACCAACGAATAAACATACCATATATGAACGACGTGAGAGAATGTAATTGTTTTGCTTAAGGGGGGATACCACCTTTGAGGCCTAAAAATAATACTCAAATTTGGCAATTTTTTGCAGTAAACTAATAAAGTCAATCAAAAATTGTTTTGAAGAGCTTTAATATAAAGTTTCGAGAGTACAAAAATTTTTTTTTTACTTTTCTCTCACAAGATGGCGGCAAAGAAAATAAAATTCTTTGGATTTTTATTCCAGATCCAATGATGTACAAAATTTCGTGCACACCGTTTATACACTCATCGAAAAAGGAGGTTAAATGGTTTTACTATAACGCCGCCATCTTGTGAAATGAAAATGAAAAAAAAATTTTTTTGTACTCTCAAAACTTTATATATTAAAGCCCTTCAAAACGATTTTTGATTAACTTTATTAGTTTACTGCAAAAAATTGCCAGATTTAAGTATTATTTTTAAGCCTCAAAGGTGGTATCCCCCTTTAATTTTTGTTTCCATCAATCTCCTCACATACGTACGTATGTTCTTACTTTGACTTCAAGGTGGTTTTCCCATTCGTTTTTATACGACGATTTATTCGGGTCGCAAAGCTTGGAACTCGACTGATTGCCCAGTTGCAATTTCTTTCGCGGCGTAGCACGCAATAAAATCTTATTAGAGCTGAAGGTCGTTTTTGCGTACCCCCGTGTGCGAAACATTCCGTTGTAACGTTACTTATATTATAGCTTGCAATTTTTAAGCTTCGTCGATTCGCGAAACCTAAGAAGTATCTAAGCTTGTACAAAATAAGTCAATAAGCTTGTTTTGCAGGGGTTCTTTATTCCATATACCGTTTAACATGCTAAAATATGAATGACGAATAATGCAAAACGACAATTATTTGGTTTTTTATTGTCTTTTTTTTTCGTGTTTTGCAAGTATCGTTAAATGAGAGAAATAATGTCAGTCGCACATCCTTTTAAGTAACGGTTATTTTTTTATGAAAATTATTTTCTTTGATAATAATATTAAAATATATTTATTACAAATTTTAGAAAAATGATTATTATACACTCAAAACAAGAATTAATTTTATTTTGAAAGATATAAAATTGATCGAGGAATCGACTTTACATATCTAATAAGCAAATCCAATTTGTTTTAATTTAATAATCTTGATTGAAATATTAAACTCATTAGGAGTTTAAACATATTTTGAATAAATTTGATACTTGTGATGAACTTATGATAAATTAATTTGTGTACCTTTGAAATATTTGAAACAAATAATTGTTATTACAGCATATTTATCTGTAGTGTATTTATCTGTGTATATAACATATCAATGATACATCGTCGACGTAGAGCAGAACATTAGAATTCTGCTAATTGAATATGCACACTCGAATGCAGAGGGAAACGCGATTCTGTTTGCTGATGATATTCTAGATTTCACAAAATGCGTCGGCGTTCGCGGGTGAGGAGACTGATTACGTTAAGGAAATAAAATTGTCGTTATGAGATTACGGACTTCGACCTTCACGCGTTTTACGCATCGTGCATTCGTATAATTTTTTCAATGATTATGTTTTTTATTACGAGATTTATTATTTTTTTTCCATGAAAGATACCATTCATTTGATTTCAACATTTCCAGTTTTGCCGTACTTCGGCAATTTTAGATTTTCTACGAACAACTCTCCGAGTCTTTTTCTTATCTCCGATCTTTTCTTTTTTTTTAAATCTGAACGCGCACGTAATTGCCTAGTTACATGAAAGAGATAATTGCGTCAATGCATCAGGTAAAGATGCATTTGCAGAAAAATTCTAGTGGTATAACAGCGTCACGTATAGAAGGGAAAGTTGAAAGAAAGATTGATTGAATGCTGCTAAAGGTCGGTCTCGATCGTTTCTCGTCACGCAGAAACCCCGAGGAAGAAAGCTCTTTGCATCCAGGGTCGCAGCGTACGCAGTGCGACGCGCGTGCATCACTTTCAGTTCCGCCCATTTAATTTCAGCCTGAGTGGATCGCTACTCTTTTTCTCCCTCTTTGTGCGTTCTTCGATTCAAACGCGTTCCTTTTCATGCGTCTCGCATACTCAGCACATCCGGAGCGTTGCACTATATACCTTAGACATCTTATTGCGTACGCCAAAGGAGCTTAGTATGTTCTATCAAGGACGGGTTCTCGTCTCCCATTTTCATCCTGGCTCGGATACACCCTTTGTGCGTTCTTCGCGAGACTGAAAGTTTTCCTGGAATCTCATACCGATGTGATGATATTTTCGCTTGAGTATACTTCGAGCAAATGTAGACATTTCGAAATA